TTTTTAGTATTTGGCGGACACAACATCTTTGTATGTGGTGCTGAGGATCGAACCTGGGCTGCACGCATGTCAGGCGAGCGCGCTACCACTTGAGCCACATCCCCAGCCCGATTGTGGATTTTTTATTTAAAATGAAGTTTAACTGAAATTTCTTCAAAGTGATGAACAGCATAGCTACCTAGGTTTCCAATATTTCCTTACTGACATCAGTCCTCAAGCTGTAAATAGGCAACTGGGCTTTGTTTTCTTTGGCCTTGAACATAGTAAGCAAGCTTGGCCACTGGGCTAAGTCCCCAAATCCACAACAGGGCTTTTATACTGMTGTACTGCAGTGGTGTTAGCTAAGCTAACACCTTAGACTTGCCCATTAGGATAGAAATATTTATTTCATGGTGCTTCCTTGCTGAGTCTAAATCCAATATAGACAAACAGGAAAACTTTTTTTTTTTAGTTGTAGATAGATACAGAGCTTTATTTTATTTACTTATTTTTATGTGGTACTAAGGATCAAACCCAGTACTTCACACATGCTAGGCAAGCGCTCTACTGTTGAGCCACAACGCCAGCCCCAGGAAACCTTCTTTGATATTAACTTTGTAAGTAACATTTCAAATGTTAAAAGAATAGAATTGACTATATAGGGTTGAGTATATAATGATAAATTGTGGGTAAATACTATATAGGCATAAGAGAATATAAATAACTTTACATTTAACAAAGGAAGAACTTTGAAGTTTTTGTTTGGATACCAAGACTTTACTCATCACTTAGATGACTGCCTACAAAGCAGAAATATTGCCCCAGACTGCCTAGATTCAAGGCTTAACATTTCACTGGGTGGCTATGTAAATTTTGACTTAGTAGTAATTGTAAACTGTAATTTATAAGTCACTGAACCCTTAAAAGAATCCTATATTTAGAAACTAACATTATCTTCATTTTATAAATGGAGAAGCAGATMTACAAAAGTTTAAAAAACTTGGTCAAGGTTATACAGCTATTAAATGGGAAAGCCAGGTTTCAAATCCCAACAGTAATCATTCTGCTACAATTGCCCCACATCTCCTCATCTGTAAATTGGAGATAATAACAGCACCTACACTGTGGGATTGTTGTAAAGATAAATTAATTAACTCATATTAAACACATAGAACAGTGACTGGCACATAAAAGATGTTCAGTGTTAACTGTTGCTATCATAGTTACTTAATGTTTTTGGATTCCTTGGAATTTTTTTCCCATATGCTTTAAACTAGAAGAAAGAAGTCAAAGGAGATATTCCCTATTCCTGCATTTACTGGTTTTTTTTTTTTTTTTTTTTTTTGCTGTTGTTGTTGTTGTTTACTTGGTTTTTGTTTTTGTTTTTATTTTTGTTTTGGTACTGGAGATTGAACCCAGAGGCGCTTAACCACTGAACCACATCTCCRGCCTGTTTTTATATTTTATTTAGAAGCAAGGTCTCATGGAGCTGCTATTGTTTAGGTATGTCAGTGAGCCCTACAATTCTGAGATATTAACCCTGGGCATGTGTATGCTTAATATGCTTTTTGTAAAGTGTTTAGGGATCTCTGAAATATAGCCTGGAGTTAAACACTAGGTTCAGTTTGTTGGGGAATATCCAGAATATTCTTTAGCAATCCCAATCCCATGTATTTCCTTCCTTCTTGCTTTACATATTAGAAGAGATAGTATGCTTACATCATCATTTGCATTGTTATCAAAATTATAAACTAGATCTGTGTCATTCCTAGCAAAACCACCTAGAGGTACAGAGTTGAGAACTTGAAGTTTACACTGTTGAAGTTTATCATTACTATGTTTCAGAACTCCTTTACTTCTATAGTCCTAACGTTGCTCTAGGAATCCAAACCTGGGGAAATAAATATTTTGAAGATTAGAAAATTCAATATTACAAATTGGTTTTTTTTTTAACTGAAGTTATGAAAGCAATGAGATTAGTCTTATGACCAAATTTTTCCTATAGGACTCAAGATTTAGAACAGTCGTTCTAATCCTCAATACTATTGACATTTAGGACTGGGTCATTATTGGTTGTGAGGGACTGTCTTGTACATTGTAGAATGTTTAGCAGCATCCCTGGCCTCTACTCATTAGATGCCAGTAGGACACCCCCTCCCATCCTCCACTTTTGATAACCTGAAGTGTACCTTGATATTCATTGCCAAATGTTCTAGGGAGAGAAAACCTAAATCACCCTAGCTTAGAATCACTAATTTCAAAAATTACTAACAGAGGAAATTGGTCTGGTTTCAGTAGAAGAAAAGTCATGACAGACTAATATATTTTTCTTGTTAGAATTCCTAGAGTGGCAGATAAAAAGAATCTAATTACTTGTATTATGTCTTCATTCATGAAAGTAAGGTACTTGACTGTCTCTCCCTATGGTTTTTTGGAGAAATGTATAGTGAATGTTTAATTGATTAACCATACCCAAAAACTATGGATTAGTTAAATGGTTGAAATTCTCTTAACCATTGACACCTGTCCAGAGGTTCTCAGTGAGGACTGTACACTAAATGAGCTAAGGACCTTTAAAAACCGATGCCTGGGTCACACTCCCAGAGACTGATTGATCTAGTCTGAGATACAATTTCAGCATCAGAAATTTTAAATCATACCTGGGTATAACTAATATATGACCACAGTTTTCAACCACTGATCTAGGCTATGCTGCAGACTCTATTCTGTTTATTAGTTGTATGAATGACTTGTATGAATTCATTAAGAATATATTTTTTCGGGGCTGGGGATGTGGCTCAAGCGGTAGCGCGCTCACCTGGCATGCGTGCGGCCCGGGTTCGATCCTCAGCACCACATACAAACAAAGATGTTGTCTCCGCCAAGAACTGAAAAATAAATATTAAAATTCTCTCTCTCTCTCACTCTCTCTTTAAAAAATAAATAAATAAATAAGAGGTGGTGGAGCCTCACTCCACCAATAGTACTTTAAAAAAAAAAGAATATATTTTTTTCAAATTTATAGTTTTCACAAATTTTTTTGTAAGTAATATGTTGGTGATAGATTTAGAAAAACAAAAAGATCACCATATATGGGGTCTTTGATTAAAGTCTAACACAAAAGCTGAGAAAACTCCAAATAAAGCCTGTGGTTTAGTTAATAGTATTGTACCAATATTAATTTCTCTATTTTCTTTTTTTTTTTAATTGGGGGGTACACCACTGAGCCACATCCCCAGCCCTATTTTGCATTTTTTTTTTTTTTTTTAGACTTAGGGTGTCATTAAGTTGCTTAGAGTTTTGCCACCATTCCAGAGGTGGCTTTGAACTCTCGATCCTCCTGCCTCAGCCTCCAAAGCTGCTGGGATTATAGGCATGTGTCACTAAGCCTGGCTACCCAATGTTAATTTCTTATTTCTGATATATGATCATGTTAGATGTTAACATTGAAGAAGCTAAATGATGAATATACGGTCATTGTATCTATAAGGTTGATTTCTGTGGTGGGGGTGGTTACTGGGGATTGAACCCAGGGTTGCTCTGCTAGTTAGCTACATCCCCAGCACTTTTAATTTTGAGTCAGGGTCTCACTAAATTGTCTAGCCTGACCTCAAATTTGTGATCCTCCTTCCTCAGCCTCCCAAGTGACTGGGATTAAAGGTTGTGTCAGCACATCTGCCTTAGTTTAAATTTTTTTAATTAAAAAAGTTTTTTTTTAACTAATTACAAATGGTTAACAGCTATCTGTGTGGCTCAAGATTTTTAAGTCTGTGGGGCTGGAGGTATATAGGTCGGGGCTTATATAAGTCCTTGTGATTATTCACCAAGAAGAAAAAAGATTTTTAATAGTGTGTTGTCAAAAAAGAAGCCAAATTCTATTGGATGCTGAAACAGGTAGGAAACTGCAACCATTCCATAATTTCTGATTTAAAATTTTATCAAAACACCTTTTTTCCCCTTAGTATTAGGAATTGAACTCAGGGCCTTATGCATGCTAGGCAAGCACTCTACCACTAAGCTGTATTGCCAGCCCCTCAGAACAGCTTTTAGTTGTCTAATTAACTTTAGAAATAAATGTTCAAAACCATAAACTTATAAAAATTCTATTAAAAATTTTTCAACAAACTGAAATTAGATTCATAATTATTTAAATGAATTTTATTAACTCAGTTATTCTTTCTTTACTAAGATCACTTTCCACATACAGCTGCACAAATCAAGGATTGAAGTTGCCTAGATGAAATACAGTACAGTGATGCAGAACGTGGGCTCTTGAGTCCAGTTTCCAGTTTGTAAACAGAATAAGAATACATATATTGGTCACTACTCCTGGCTCCTGACTCGGTTTCTAAAACCTTTCTAATATCCTAAGTAATAGGGAGGGGTGCCAGGAGCAATTTTTGTTCCAGTATCTGGTCTTTGAGCTGGTTCCTAAATTCCTTAGAATTTCTTGAATGGTAGGAATATCTTTTGTTTTAATGAGAATACTTTTGTTGAATTCCTGGATAGTTTCCAGATGTTGGCTGGTCACCAGAAAAAACAAACCATGATTAGAATTTTCAAACCCGTTCCCCAGATGGGGCTATAGACTGAGTTAATGACGAAGCCTCTATACAAATCTGAACAAATAGGGGTAGGAGCTTTCAGGTTAGCAAAAGTATTCACAAGCCAGGAATGCACACTACATTCCAGGGGTACAAAAGCTCTTGCAATAGGATCCTTGTRTATTTAATCTAGTTGTTCATTTGTACATTTCATCGTATCCTTTGTAATAAACCAGTAAACATAAGTRTTTTTTCCCCTTGATTTCTCTGAGTCATTTTAGCAAATTATCAAACTTGAAGAAGGGTCCTGGGAATCCCTAGTATGTAGCCAAATCAGAAGCATGGATAACCTTGGAACCCATTACTTGTGATTGTCTTCTGAAGTGAGGAGCAGTCTTACAGAACAAAGCTATTAACTGGTGGGATCTGAAGGTAAATAGTGTGAGTAGAACATCTAATTAATTGGTGTCCACAGAGAATTGGAGAATTGCTTGGTTTGGAAGACCCATGCATTTGGTGTCAGAAATGTTGGAAGTAGAGGAAACAATTTTTCTTTTATCATGTTTATGTATTCTATGTCGCACTATGCTTTTTGTGTCAGAAAATTGGTAATTTTGTAGTTCCTTCCATTAAGAGGCAGTCTTTTTTCTGAGTTGGCCTAGCAAAGGGGCTTCAATAGAAGAATAGAAGTGTTACTCTACAAATTTGGAGCCTAGAATTCAAGAGGCCATAAGTCATTTAGCTCTCTTGGATCTTTAATTTGTCACTGTTGTGAGAACAAGTGTAGGCCACACAGCTAAAGGATGAAAGATGGTATGGATCAAAATCAGTCATCCTCTCCAGTCCAACAGAGATCACCAAATCAACCCAGGGCCAAAAAATTAACCAGATAACCTACAGCTATAAACTTGTACACAGTAATAAATAGTTATTGTTTTAACTTTTTKAGTTCTTTGTGGCTCCTTATACAGCAGTCACTAAAATAGTGCTTCAGAGGATGCTGTAACAAAATAATGTAAGGGCTGGGGCTGTAGCTCAGTGGTGAGCACTTGCCTAGCATGTGTGAGGCACTGGGTTCGATCCTCAGCACTGCATACAAATAAATAAATAAAAAAAGGCATTGTTCGTCTACAACTAAAAAAAAATTTAATATGTAAGATATATATTACATCGGCACATTAACCATGTATGTTAACTGCTACTACTGTTATATATTTTAATATGGCTAACTARCAACATTTTTAAATCACAGCTTTATTAAGATATAATTAACATACCTTAAAATACACTCTTTTCTAAGTATATTCACAGAAGTATTCAACCATTCCCACTACCTAATTTTAGAATATTTTYACCTAGATTTTGTTTGTATGTATGCCCACACGTTTGTGTGCACATGCAGTGCTAGGAATTGAACCCAGGCCTTGTGCATGCTAGGCAAGTGCTCTACCAATGAACAACATCCCCATCTCTTAAAACATTTTTATTATCCCAGAAGAATTGTGGCAGCAGTCACTCCTTATTTCTCCCCCCACCCAATCCTTTATCAACCACTACTCAATTATATGATTAATAAGCCAATTCTGGACATTTCATATAATTGGAATCATAYTATATATCTTCTTCATTGACTGTCTTCTTTTTTTGTTTTGTTTTTAGGGTTTTTCCATGTCACAACATGTATCAGAACTCCATTTTTTGTTATTGCCAAATAACATTTTCTTGTACAGCTATATCAGTTGATGGACATTTAAGTTGTTTCCTCCTTTCTGGCCATTATGTATATGACACTCCTGTGAGCATTTGTGCACAAGTTTTGTGTATGCATATTTTCATTTCTCTTATATAACCAAGAGTGGAATTGCAAGGTCATCTGTTAATTCCATTTTTACCTTTTGAGAAACTGCCAAACTTTCCAAAGTGGCGGCACTATTTTATAATCCCAACAGCAATGTAAAAGGTGATTGTCTTCTGAAGTGAGGGGTAGTCTTACAGAACAAAGTTATTAACTGGTAGGATCTGAGGGTAAATAGCATGAGTAGAACATCTAATTAATTGGTGTCCACAGAGAATTGGAGAATTGCTTGGTTTGGAAGACCCACACATTTGGTGTCAGAATGTTTTTCCAGATCCTCTCTAATACTTGTTACTGTCTGACCTTTTGATTTTAGCCATCCTAGTGGGTGTGAAGTTATATTACAGATATAAGTTCTTAGTCAGATATGTGATTTACAAATATTTTCTCCTATTCCATTTTCTTTTTTAATATTTATATTTTAGTTGTAGTTGGACACAATACATTTATTTTATTTGTTTATTTTTATGTGGTACTAAGGATCGAGCCCAGGGCCTCACATGTTCTAGGTGAGCACTCTACTGCTGAGCCACAACCCCCACCCACCTATTCCATTTTCTTGATGATATGTTTTGAAGCACAAGACTTTTTTTATATAKATATATTTATTTTTTAGGTGTACATGGACACAACACAATGCCCTTATTTTTATGTGGTACTAAGGCTCGAACCCTGGTCCCGCCCGWGCTAGGAGGRCGTTCCACCGCTGWGCCACAATCCCAGCCCTACTTTTGTTGTTTTTAAAGCATTATAGTTTATACATGTTAACTAAGTTCATTGCAACAAAATTATACATGCATGGAATTTCATTTCAGTTCCTGATCCCTGCTTTCCTTCCCCTCCTCACTTAACTCATTCTCCTTCCTCTACTGATCTTCCTTTCACTCATCTATTTATTTATTTTGATGGGTTCTTTCTACTTACATGGAAAGTGTAATTCCCTGTGGTGTGTTTATATATGCATATAGCATGATTTTTTTAAAAATCATTCCACATTTCTTCCCCTTTCCTGTCCTTCCTCCCTCCCTCTTGATTTCCTTCTACTGTATTGATTATCCCAATATCTTTATGGTAGCACTTCCTCCCCTCCTCCTTTCTCTTATTTTGTTCTAACCTCCACATAGAGAGAAAACATTCAACCTTTGATTTTCTGAAACTGGCTTATTTGACTTAGCATGATGGTCTCCATTTCCATTCATTTGCCAGCAAATGCCATAATTTCATTATTCTTTGTGGCTGAAAAGACTTCATTGTGTATATATATCACATTTTCTTAATCTATTCATTATTGATGGGTATATAAGTTGATAATTTGAACCATATTTTGGTTATTATGAATTGTAAAGCACATGTTTTAATATTTTTGAAATTTAAGTGTGTATTTTTACTTTTGTCACTTTTGCTTTTGGTGTCATATTTAAGAAGCCATTGCATAACTTAAGGTCATGAAGATTTCACGTGTGATTTAAGATTTTATTTTACATGTAAGTGATCTGTTTTGAGGGTTTTTTAAGAGGTGATTTTAGTAAAATGTGTTCTCATGAAACAGTGGTATGATAGTTACAAATAGTCACTCTGAAATGTAATAAATAAGAAATGACAGATCATATCTCAAGTGTATTGAGATAATATAGAGAGTGGACTTACATTACAYGATTATTACTTTAAGTTAAGAAACTGAAGACATTTACCCAGCAACAGAAAAAAATAGGACATAACTACCTTTAATATTTGAAAAGTTGTCATGTGGAAKATAACTTGTAAAATCCAAGAGAAAAATTGACAGTAAAAGGAAGCTATGAGGAGACATTTCACCATTCATTGTGAGAGTATATTCAGTTTTTAAACTACATGGRCTATTTCTCGTCACTAGAAATTATTAAACATTGATGATTGATGGTGTAGTATATACCATGGCTAATGGGAAAGAAAGTCTTATATTCAAGTATAGCTTTCAATTCTAAAACTACCTTTGAGAAGTTATATATTCTATTCATACTTATTTTCACTTGGGGATAATAATAATAACATCTGCCTCATAGGATTGTTGTRAGATAATGACTACAAATTGTTTACCATACATCCTGCTTCTTTTTTGAGAATGGGATGGGGGGGTTACCAGGGATAGAACCAGGGATGCTCAACCACTGAGCCACATCCCCTGCCCTATTTATTTTTTATTTTGAAACAGTGTCTCACTGATTTGCTTAGGATCTCGCTAAGTTTCTGAGACTGACTTTGAACTTTCAATCTTCATTCCTCAGCATCCTGGCTGATACAGCCTGTTTCTGAAAAATATTCAGTGATCATAGTTTCAATTAATGTAGACATAATTTAGTTCTGAATTCATTCAGTTCTTAAACTAGATCAAATTAACCTAAAGGATCTATGATTCTCTTCACACAAAATCATGTACATGAATGTTCATAACTACTTTTCTCATGATAGTTAAGAATTGGAAACAACCCAGATGTCCTTCAGTGGAAATTTGTTTAAATGCTTAAACAAACTGTGGCACAATATCATGGAATAATATTCAGTAATTAAAGATAACAAACTATTACCTAGTGTGGTGATACATACCTTAATCCCAGCTACTGGGAAGTATGAGGCAGAAGGATCACAAGTTCAAGTCCAGCCTGAGCAGCTTAGGAAGATCCTATTTCAAAATCAAAAAGGATGGGGATGTAGCTCAGTGGTAAAGTCCTTGCCTAGCATGTATGAAACCTTGGGTTCAATTCCTAGTACCTAAAAAAAAAAAAAAAAAAAAAAAAAACACAGTAAAAGCTATTTTATACTTAGTGGGAAAAAAATGTTTCAAAAAATGGAACTTAATGATTTTTATGAATACTGAAGTTTTAGCATGCAGTCGTTGGTATAAATTTCTAAATTTGGACAGGCTTTTTCTGACTTCCTTCTCAGGTTACATTTGACCTATATAGACAAGTTTATCTTTTTTTTTTTTTCTTTTTTTAAGAAATGTTCTAAATCTAGCTAAATGTTTCATCTGTAAAGTAGTTGAAGTTTAAATACAATAGTGACTAGTTAGGTGTGGTGGTGCACACCTGTAATCCCAGCAACTCGGAAGTGTGAGGCAGAAGGAGTTCAAATTTGAGGCCAGCCTCAGCAACTTAGTGAGACCCTGTCTCGAAAGAAATATTTTAAAGGGCTGGGAATGTGGCTCAGTGGTAAAATACCTCTGGGTTCCTTAATTAAAATGTGTGTGTGTATGTGTGTGTATTTTCTAAATAATACAATAGTGACTGTCCTTTCCAAGTACATTTGGTAAAGCTTCAAAGAACTTAAAGATTAAAGGAACTACATTACTCACATTTTAAATAAAAAATGACAGGAGGTAGGGGTGGAGGCAGAACTTTTGGAATAGGTGGTTGACAATTGAAAAACAGAAGTATTTAATGATATCTTTGATAATTTTTTTCATTTTTGCTCCCTGCAATCCTTGAAATAATTATCGTTTAATTTTTACTGTCATTCATTTTTAATAGGAAGCCTGTCCTTATCTATCTTCTAGTTACAAGTAAAAACTCCTTTGCTCTGTAAATGAGTCTTCAAATGACATGAAAGCCCAAAAGCAGAAAATAGTGCCCAAGTTTTCATAGAATTAGTGGCTTTGAGCCTTTATCATGCCAAGCTCTGGTTTGTTTATGCCCTGGAAAATAGAATGAGCAAACATCTTTCACATTCATTTGATTTACCAATAGGATTCTTTCTGCTTTTAGGCATTTTGTTTGTTYTTGCTTATAGGTATTTTAAATGACATTGAAAAATGTGGTTGGAGATTATCTGCTTGGGGATCAGACTTTTGTTATTCATCCCTCCCTGTTGTTATATAGTAACAAGATCTTTTCTGTTAAAAACAGTGAGAAAATATTAAAGGATTTTAAGCAAGACTTCAATGAAGAAAATGGGTTAGAGATGTTCAATTTAAGACTAGTAGATCTGTTGTTTTAATTTATATACAAGATCATTTTCCTGACCAACATTTCCCATAATGTCTATAACATAGCCAGAATACTAGTCCACTGGCACACCTGTGGGAAGAAGTAGCCTCAGGCTAGTAGTATAGCTTATTCACATAGCATTTGCCCTGCACATACAGGGACCTGAGTTTGATCCCCAGAACCATGAAAACAAAGAAGTGACTTYTAGACCATGTTGCTCACTCTTGTCTCCAGGACTGAGATTCCCTCCAGAACCCATAACTCTTCCATAGTAGTATTTGTTCCAGGGAGCACTGGGAAGACCTAGGGAGCAGAATTGGACAGATATTTTTAGAATGACACTGGTACTAGGAGTAGTTTASGGATCAGGAGAGATGAGATTGGGTGGGAGGGCTTTGGGTTGGAAATCACTTGCCATGTAGTGTCAGAATTGGCATGAGCGTGCAAGGGAAATAGTGCTAAAGGCACAGGAGTTGAGGATAGTTGATATGGGGGAGAATTAACAATTGGGGTGAAGAAACTTGAGTTTGTCAAAGATGGTATTGGGCACCAGGTAGAGATGAGTGTTGGGTGGTACTGGACATTGAGTGCTTGTGTTGGTAATTACCAAGATTGCCCTCAGMTCCTGTGATTTGATAGGAGTACTCAAAAAACAGCATATAGTTATATTTATGGCTGTTATTAATTACAGTGAAAGGAAGCAAAGCAAAATYATCAAAGGAAGCTTCCAAGACTCCTTTCTCAATGGAATCATAAAGAGTACACATAATTTCTCTAGTAATAAGTTGTGCCAGTACCTGTGAAATGCTGTCTACTAGGGAAGCCTATTAGAAACTCAGTGCCAGGTTTTTTATTGGGGGTTGGTTGTGTAGGCATCAACTGTTTAGCATGTATAAAATTCCAGACTTCCTAGATTCCCAGCAGGAAAGCAGATGTTCACTATAAACCGCGTAGCTTTCATAAATTCTTAGCCAGTTGTACGCATGGTGGGTGGTGATCCTGAAATTCAAGTTCCTGGATACCAGCTCAGGGCCAAACTTGATGCTAGGAATTTCAGACCTGCTAGGTCAACTCTTGTCTGCATAGCTGTATTAGGAACCAAACGTAGGCATTGGGCAATTGTCTCCAGTGAAGTCATTTGTAAGGCAAAGAAAGTTAAGGACAACAGGTAATAAGTAGAGCAGATGGGTCCTAACCCAGTCTGGGACCTAGTAGAGGTTCATGCTTGGGCTTGGAAACACAAAGCCACCACCTTACTCCTTAGCAGGGGCCCTCTTGTTATCTAAGAATGGTATTAATACTACTGTTTTTCAATAAAGGATGTTAARGCCAAGTAAATTTGGGAAACAGTGTAAAATGAACTCTATTATAGTTTTCCCTAAAACTTTTAATGTGCTAATATGTATTGTACTTAATCAAGAAATTACTTTGTATCAGTTCTCAAATTTTATTCAGCCATAGATCTTTGGTGCGTTTTATAGGACTAGTTAGTATTTACCAAACTTATATTGGGAGCTGCGCCTCTAGGCCTCTGGTTCTTAGAAGCAGCAAAGGAGCCCTGGAATCAACAGATAAAAAAGGAGGCAGTCCCTAGAGACTATATATATATATATATATATATATATTTTTTTTTTTTTTTACCACTATGTACTCTGTATCATATAAGCATGCAGAAGCACATCATTATGTGTTTCTTGAATGAACAAATTAAGGAATCCTTGTCATTTTTATCAAAAAGTAAACTTGAAAACTAAAAGGAGGTAAAACTCAAAGGAAATAGTATTAGGTTAGAGACTATTAACAGTTTGTTTACCATTGTGTTCACCATGGTACTTGGCACACAGTAACTTGACTTTGTTATTAGTGGGAGGKTTTTTTGTTTTGTTTTTGGGGTTTTTTTGTTTGTTTGTTTTTTGTTGTTTTTGTGTTTTGTTTGGTTTGGTTTGGTTTGGTTTTTGATTTCCAACTGGGGATTGAATCCAGGGATGCTCTACCACTGAACTCCACCCCTGGTCCTTTTTAGTTTTTATTTTGTGACTGGATCTCACTAAAAGTTTCTGAGGGTCTTGCTGACTTGCTAAGACTTGTCCTTGAACTTTCCATCCTCCTGCCTCAGCCTCCTGACTCACTAGGATTATAGGCATACACCACCGTGCCCAGCCTGTTGTTGCTTTAAGAATTTTGGTCATAAGAAAGGTGGAAATGATTAAGCAAACTGAATTAACCATCTAGAATAATTTATTCTATCAGGGCGAGATAGTGGTTTTACTTTCTGTAATTTCAGTCACCCAAGTTAAACCATGATCCAAAAATCTTGAATGAAAAATTACAAAAATAAACAGTTTGCATGTTTTAAATTGTATACCATTCTGAGAAGCTTGATGAAATTTTCTGCTTTCCTACAACTGAATCATCCCCCTGTCTAGTATATCCAAACTATRATACTAATACATGCGCTACCCACCCATCAGTCACTTTGTAGCCATCTCAGTTAGGAGACGGAATGTCCTGATTGTTGAAGTGCTTCTTTTCAGGTGATGTTCATTTTACTTAGKGACGGTCCCTAAGTGTAAGAGTAGTGATGCTGGCAATTCAGATGTACCAAAGAAAAGCTGTCGGGGGCTTTCTTTAAGTGAAAATTCAGTAAGCCTGGGTTTTGTTTTCTTTTGTTTTTGAGGGGTGCTAGAGATTGAATCCATGGTCTTATACATRGTAGGCAAGTAGTCCACCTCTGGCCTTGCCCCCAGTTCCACAATAAGATATTTTGAGAAGGAGAGAGACTACATTCACATAACATTACATTATATTATTATAATTGTTCTTTTCAGTTATTAGTTGTTAATCTGTTACTATGAATTGAACTTTATCATAGGTGTGTGTGTGTGTGTGTAAAAAAAACGTATCTATATGGTTTGGTACTTCTGGTTTCAGGCATCCACTGGAGATCTTGGTTCCTTATGTAAAAGGGGCAGAGGACATATTGTATTCTAAACTTTAAGAGTTGGGGATATACTTCAATGAAAGAACACTTGCCCAGCATGTGCAAAGCCCTGGGATCAATCCCCATTAAAAAAAAAAAAAAAAAAAAACACACATACACACACGCATCATTTGGCTCCCGAAAGATTGAGGTTTTTAGATTTAAAATTTCCATATATATATGTATATATATATATATATATATACACACACACACACACACACACACACCATATAGATACGTTTTTTATACACACACACCTATGATAAAGTTCAATTCATAGTAACAGATTAACAACTAATAACTGAAAAGAACAATTATAATAATATAATATTTATTTATTTATTTATTAGTTGTAGTTGGGCACAATGCCTTTATTTCATTTATTTTTATGTGGTGCCAAGGATCGAACCCAGGGCCTTGCACATGCTAGGCGAGTGTTCTACCGCTGAGCCACAACCCCAACCCCTAGATTTAAAATTTATAACAAAAATAAATAAATATAACACATAACATAAAGTAATAAAATACTCATTTATCCATTTTCTAGTGTTAATAGATCATTACCTGATGATTGTGTGCATTTGTGCATCCTTCCCCAATTGTTTCCCTTTCCTTCCTTCTTAAGAGTAACCTTTTTTTTTTTTACTTTTTTCTTCCATTTTACTTGTTTCAGTTTTACTGCATATGTGTATATCCCCCAAATAATGAWTGAAATTATATCATGCTAGATGTAATAGTTCTCACTCATTGCACATGTATGTGTTTTTCTAGTATAAACACCAAGAAGTAAAATATCAGGGTCACAGAGTTATACATTTTCATTTTTGCAAAGATAATCCCAAATATTTTTTCAAGGTATTTGTATTTATACTCCCAGTGGCAGTGTATGAAAATTCCCAGTATTTCTCAGGCTCTTGTAACATTTGCTGTTGTCCCTGAAATGTAATGAGATTGAAAATTTATTGTGTTTATTAACCATTGATATTTCCTTTTCTGGAAACTTTCTTCTGCATATTCTAGATATTAATCCATTGTCTTTTTTGCATGTTTCAGGTATCTTTCCCAGTTTTGGCTTACCTTTTTACTTTTTTTTTTTTTTTTTTTTTTTTTAAAGAGTTCAGGGACAATGCTGAATGGGATACCAAAGCTTTTCTCCAGGGGCCAGAGGGTAAGTCCTAACAGACCTGAACACTTTGTGCAAACTATCTGTAGGTAGATTTGTTGGTTTTAGGTAGCTTCATTACATCCAGAACGAATACTCTGGAGAACTTCAGCTGACTAGTATTTTAATTTACAAGTATGCACTCAAAAGAATAGGCACAATTCCAATTTTCTACCCATGAACTTCACTGCCAGTTGCTCTAAGTTTTCAGTTAACAGATCTCAGTAGAATAGTTGTGCATGAGAATTTACCATGTGATAGGATAATAATGTTTTTCAAAAAACATGGTTACGGGGCTTAGGATATAGCTCAGTTGGTAGAGTGCTTGCTTTGCATGCACAAGGCCATGGGTTCAATCCCCAGCACCAAAAAAGAAGAAAAAAAGTTAAGTTTAATTGCACTTATCCTTATTAATTTTTTTTCTTATTGGACTAATGATATCTCCCTTAGTGAAGTATCTAAAAGAAAAACAATTTGCCTATTTAGACCTATAAATCTAATGGTAGGATGAAATCATATATTGGGGAGAATCTGTGGTTTTACATCATTCCTTTCATTTATTTACCAAAATAGCTTTTTCAGTACCTTTTATATGGCAGGTACTCAGAATTCTAAAATGGCTCATTTCACTATAATAGTTACTATTTAGAGAGCATTTCATTATGTGCTSGATACTGTGTTAAGTGCCTTATTTTAATCCTCATGAGCAACCCATGAAGTAGATAATATCCCTATTTCAAATATGTAGAAACTAAAGATTAGAATGGCTAGGTAACTTACCTAAGAAATTGGCTGCAAAGTTATAAAGCCTAGATACCAAATCTGTCTGACTTTAAAGCTTATGACCTAATTATGGGGCCATATTGTACTTTACAATCCACATACTCCAGAACCTCACAGTCCAGTAGTAGATTCATGAATAAATAATTTGTGCAGTATGGTACTGTTGCAGCACCCAGGAGGAGCACCTAACCTAGATTAGTTAAGTCCACAGGAAATCCTCCCAGAACTAAATCCTGAGGATGAGAAATGACCAGAAGAGCATGTAATTACAGATTAAATTCTCTAGAATAAAGGAGCACTTCCTCCAGTATATTTTTTTCCTCTCCCTCCCTCCAACCCCAGGATTTATTTATGAAAAAGTCTATATACATAAAATAGCGTATTTTTTTTAAAAGAGAGAGTGAGAGAGGAGAGAGAGAGAGAGAGAGAGAGAATTTTTTTTTTTTAATATTTATTTTTTAGTTCTCGGCGGACACAACACCTTTGTTGGTATGTCGTGCTGAGGATCAAACCCGGGCCGCACACATGCCAGGCGAGCGCGCTATCTCTTGAGCCACATCCCCAGCCCCAAAATAGCATATTATTATAAAATTAAATAAAATCAAAGATCAACAGTGGAATGAACTCTGGTCCCAGCTGAATATTACAAGGCTAAAATTGCTTCCTTAATACCAGATAACACTTGAGACTAGACTATAACGAGATATTGGAGAAAAGAATTTTGTTGGTGATTTTAGTTTGGTTCAAGTTGATCTTATATATTGGATATTGTTCTTGCAGGAATTGCATGATGTGCATTCTGGAACTGTGCAGAGGCAATTGTATATTTGGTTGTTTTTCCTAAAAACAAGATTAGCTGAGTGATGCCAATTATAACACTCTAAGAATTAAGGAATCCATTTATMTTTTAATTTGCTAGAAAAGGGGTAACTAAAAAGTCATCAGATTACTGTAGAAATAGCACCACCATAATCTGCTCTAATGCCATCCATTTCCCTCCAAATTCTATGATTTTGTCATTTTTTAATGCAGAGTAATACTCCATTGTGTATAAATGCCACATTTTTTTTATCCATTCATCTATTGAAGGGCAAGTGAAGCCAGCCAATCCCTAAAAAACAAATGCCAAATGTCTTCTTTGATATAAGGAGAGTAACTAAGAACAGAGTAGGGACGAAGAGCATGAGAAGAAGATTAATATTAAACAGGGATGAGAGGTGGGGGGGAAAGCGAGAGAGAAGGGAAATTGCATGGAAATGGAAAGAGACCCTCAGGGTTATACAAAATTACATACAAGAGGAAGTGAAGGGAAAGGGAAAAATAATACAAGGGGGAGAAATGAATTACAGTAGAGGGGGTAGAGAGAGAAGAGGGGAGGGGAGGGGGGATAGTAGAGGATAGGAAAGGCAGCAGAATACAACAGACACTAGTATGGCAATATGTAAATCAATGGAAGTGTAACTGATGTGATTCTGCAATCTGTATACGGGGTAAAAATGGGAGTTCATAACCCACTTGAATCAAAGTGTGAAATATGATATATCAAGAACTATGTAATGTTTTGAACAACCAACAATAAAAAAAAAAAGAAAGAAAAAAATCCATGGGAAATATAAGATATTTTTAATAACATAATTTCAGGGTATTTAGCACCTAAAAAGTAAGACTTCTTTTGAGAGACCAAGTAATTTCCTATTCATCAATACTTAAATAATTATTTAAGATAAAGTTTAATACCCATAGTTAAGTAACTTGATCTTAACATTGGGAAATACATAAAAGTTGTGGGTTAAAAAAAATAAAAAAATTTTAAAAATCTAAAAAAAAGAAATAGCACCACCAAGTGGCCTTTGAATATTTTTGGTTTTCCACTTTTAAAAGACATGATGCTTTCTCTCCAGTACATAAACTTGAGTAGTATTAGTACAAAGGTGGATTAGACACATTACTTTATTGAGGTAATAAGCCCTTAATTCTTGTTTGTGTTTTTGTGTTCTCTGAAAGTGATCTTTTTTCCTGTTCCTGTATTTCCAAAGGGTTTKGAGGCAAGATAAGGGTTGGRGACAAAGTTTTATCTTCATGGGATACCTTTTCAACATGTAGCTCTTCCCCCACCCTCCCCAAGGCAGTCTTGCTGTGTTGTCCAGACTGGATAAAATCCTGTGCTCAATGATCCTCCTGCTTCTCCCTTGAAGTATCTTAGATTACAAGCATGCYACAACACACAGTAACATGTAACTTTTAAGGTTGCCACCTCAGCKGGAAAAGAAGAGAATTTATACCCACTTTTAATTGGTTTTGACTAGAACTAACACACAAGTTATTTCCACTCATAGCTCTTTAGACAAAAGTAGTCACCTGACCCCAAACTATTTACAGTGGAGGCAGAGAAATGTAGAGGACTATTCGATGTGCTTCATCTACTGTGGAGTTAATTTACAATCATACAAAATTGGAACACCCTATTACCTTATACCATTAATTTAAGTTGAAATCTATAAATAGTAGTTCGGAGGTTTCCTCTACAGTTTATTAAATTGCCTGTTAGGCAGTTTGTTTTCATTGGCTAGATGCTGTATATACTTCCTCATTACATTTCTTTAAGAAAATATTTATTAGTAGGCATGTGTACTTAGTATTTGTTATATGATAGATATATATATRTRTGTGACATTTTTCCCYGTTGTAGATACAGCTTACATCCTTGGTGTTATAGCAAGTATAAAAAGCCTAATAATTTCAAAACACTAAAAATGCTTTCTTTTATAGTTGGATCCTAGATGTTTTTTGCACACTGGGACCCAGGCACCCCGAATCGCTGCTGCTCACCTAGAAAACCAGGTTCCAATTGAGAGTCCCAGAGCCATTTTCCGCACTAATGAAAGTGACCCAGTGAGTTGCTAATGTATATGTGAGGTATTTCATGAATTATACTTTGTGCTGGTGTCTTCTTTTTACATATTAGGAAACCTGAAATTTAAGGAAACTAAGCAATTTTACATATATTCAAATCTCTGTAACCCAGATAGTCCCTGTCCCTGTCTGATATTAAGGTAACATAAAGTACTCAGTAAGTACTAAACTTATTATTGTTATTGATATTGTATGCAGGGTGGCAAAATTCTCCTTAAAGGACAAGCTTAATAGTTTAAGCTTATGGGCTAGAATATGTCTGTCACGGTTACTCAGTGCCACCATGAACAAATTAGGTGTGGTTGTGTTCCAATAAAATTTTATTTACAAAACACATGACCAAGGCCCASCTTTGGTGTACCTTAATGATAGAACACTTACCTAGTGTTTATGGGGATCTGGGTCGGACCCCCAGCACCACCACACACAGACCCGGAAAAAAAAAAATGATGACCAGCCTGGCACAGTGGTGCATGTGTATAGTCCCAGGCACTCGAGAGACTGGGGCAAGAGGATCACAAGTTGAAACCAACCTGGGCAACTTGGTGGGATCCCATCTCCAAATAAAAAAAATAAAAGGTTTGGAGATGTAGCTAAATGGGCTCAATCCTCAGTACCAGAAAGAAGGAAAAAAGAAAAAAACAACCAACCATAGCTTACCAAATCCTCATACGGAAAATCCTAAAGAAATCAAACTACTTGCTCAAAACTGCACAGCAGGGCAGGTAAATAACCAATCTGGTATTATTTTCCACCTTTAAAATGGATTTCCAAGTATCTGGAGAGAAACTTAACTTGATTTGTTATTGGAAGAGTGGCATCTGAAATGAAGTTCATCAGCAGAATCCAGGTTCCAGCAGRATCCAGTTGCATTTTCCAGTCCGATTAAAGTAGATGGGTCGACTTCCTTTCTCCTTTCCYAGAGTTGTTGCTGCCTCTCATAAGTGAAATTAGTTGTGTGGTCCGTGCTTTAATGTGAAGGGAACTGACACCGTTTTTGTCCCTGCACCTACCCCTCTGAGTCCTCCAATCTTAATATGGCTGTGTGCAATTTTTAAAAAATAAACAAGGTATGGTGTTGTACTCCTGTAATTCCAGTGGCTTKGGAGGCTGAGGCAGGAGGATCACAAATTCAAGGCCAGTCTCACTCAACAGCCTAGTGAAACCCTGTCTCCAAATARATAAGATCTGGGGATGTAGCTCAGTGGTAAAGCACCTCTGAGTTCAATCCCCAGTACCAATAAATAATTAACTAATTAAACKTTAAAAAAAAAATAACTCCCTATCCAAAATGTCATCTAAATAGAATGTATTTTAAATGCATCTCTAGCATTCATCTATTTTTCACAAGCACAGAATGAAATAGAATAAATGAATGAAGTCACTGATGTATCTTTCAGCTTCTTCTATAATTGTAGTCCCTTTCTTTGCCAATTCATCTGGGGTTTCTATGGAAACAGCAGCATGCAGATGATTTTGTCACATGACTGGAGCATCTCTATACACAACACCAAAGAATCCAGATGGCAAAAATTATCTCTGTTACCTCCACATCTAGAGTTTATTTGCTGAACAACTGGCTTTATCATTCAGGTTACAACCTTCTAGTATATRCAGGACTTAGAGAAAACAACCAGCAGTTTTGACTAAGATAAGTAAAAGATATTTTCTAGCTCTGAGAAATGAGTGTTTCCCCAGTGTGGTCTAGTAGACCCTATTCACTTTGTAAAGTCAGTATCACTTGTGTGTCCCCATTATAGCTGTTTACATTTTTATTTCCTAGGCCAAGCATGGGGAGCAGCAAGAGGGCCAGCACTACACCATCCCCCTCCAGGATTTGAAGACTGTATTTCCCCATGGCCTGCCTCCTCGATTTGTAATGCAGGTGTGCAAAACAGAATGGAACTGGTGAGGTCCCAGAACACAAGCCAGTGATAGCAAAGGGGAGGGATTAAATGAGTAGAAAACTATAAAATTTGAACTTGAAAACTGATAAATTTGGGCTGGGGATGTGGCTCAAGCGGTAGCGCACTCGCCTGGCATGCGTGTGGCCCGGGTTCTATCCTCAGCACCACATACAAACAAAGATGTTGTGTCCACCGAAAACTAAAAAATAAATATTAATATTCTCTCTCTCTCTCTCTCTCTCTCTCTCTCTCTCTCTCTCTCTAAAAAAAAGAAAAGAAAAAAGGAAAACTGATAAATTTAGCTATTTTGTGAATGGTACAGTTACTTTATTTTAAAGCTAATGTTTTATCTTCTGCCAACCACTTTAAGTTCTTTGTGGAACTAGGTAAATATTCTTATGTAAATAACAAGGCATTTTTTTCCTTGTTATCCACTGATGTTCAAATAATTATTTTAAATGAATTTAATATTTGCCTTAGCAGAATATTTTTAATGTGCTACACAAAAGCAAAATATATTCCTGAGCTAAATAGAAGCTATTTTGATTAGCTGCTTCATTGTTCGTTTTCATTCTCAAATATTTTCAGAAAATATTGTTTTGTGGCCATAATTTTAACTCAGAAGTATGTAATCCTAGGAGCCAACAGGTGCAATGGTGCATATTTGTTATCCCATCCACTTGGAAGGCTGAGACAGGAGGACCGAAAATTCAAAGCCAGCCTCAGCAAAAAGTGAGGCGCTAAGCAACTCAGTGAGACCCTGACTCTAAATAAAATACAAAATAGACCTGGGGGTGTGGCTCAGTGGTCGAGTACCCCTGAGTTCAATCCCAATACCTAAAAAAAAACAAAACAAAAAAAAGAAGAGAGTGTAATCTTAGAGTTTGGGATATGATATAGCTTAGTGGTAGAGTATTTGCCTAGCATGTGTGAGGCCCTGGGTTCAGTTCCTAGCATACATATATATATATAGAGAGAGAGAGAGAGCGTACCGCGCAAGCGCCATTGGGAAAATTCATGATTAAATGCAACCCTGGCTTTTTGGCACAGTTGTTCTTCCTATTAGCACCTACTGGGTTTTTGTTACTGTTTGTTTTGTTTTTGAGACATGGTCTCGCTATGTTGCTCAGGCCAAACTCCTGGGCTCAAGTGATCCTCCTGTCTAAAGCCTCCCAAGAAGCTGAATTATTTTTAGCACCAGAAATTATTCCTTCTTCTCCAGGCATAGKGACTTAGCCGACAATTCCTATACAAACCCAATTCTTTTTCAGGGGAGATTTCTTTCAAAAATACCAGCACTAGTACTGCAAATGTAGCTTATTGGTAGATGGTGTGCTTACAAGTGGGAGGCCCTGGGTTCTGTCCCCAGCACCAGAAAAGAAAAAATATTCTAACACTATTTTAAACTTCATCTGATATATTTGCAAATAATATTTGTTAAATATTTGTTCTTAGTTGATATAAATACTTTCATAACATATCAATCAGTGCTTACCAAATTTTTCTACCAAAGTATTCTGGTGGCATAAGGGTAATGAACACAAAAAATCTGATGCATACTGATGTATGCTTGTGATGTGGGATATGTCCTGGTAGGTGAGGGATAGCTAACCAGACCTCCTGAGTTGCCATGTATAAAGTTCTAAAGAAAAGCATAGCTGGTTGTAATGATAAGAATTAACTAAAAATAACTGTGGGAGAATATTTATTGAATGTTCAACGTGTATCAAATAATTTGTTAAACATTTTATATGCTTTTAATACTTAAGTATTAAAAGATCTTAGTTATTCCTAGATTCCATTTAACTAGTGTAATATTTAGGCATTATTAACAAAGAATAAACAAAAGCTGACTGTWATGTTATTTGGTGTGGARTAACATGTTTTGGGGTTCTGCTAAATCATATGAGTTGATTTTCAAATTCAGTACCAATCCAACCTTTGTTAACTGAATAAATTTAAAATATTCAATTTAGTGCTCTTAGTTGCCATATTAGGCTTAGTGTATATACTGAGTGATGAAAAGTTCTACAGCCCACCTTCTCCTTCCTGCTTCTCTATTTTCATAGGTGAAAACATTTGGTGAAGCTTGCCTRATGATACGAAAGCCAGCCCTAGAGCTTCTGCATTATCTGAAAAACACCAATTTTGCTCATCCAGCTGTGCGGTATCTTTTCTGTATCCTTTCCTGCCTGCCTGGGTCATCTTGAACCAGTGTTTTCTCCCCTCGTGAGCAGAAAGAAGAAATGTAAGAGTGCTGTTGATAGTAAAAGTATCTCCTCTGGTGATATTTTCTTTAACAAGAAGTACATTAGATGGGGAGAAGGGAACAGGCAAAACCCTCAGTCTTTGTCATGTTATTCATTTCTGTGCCAAGCATGATTGGTTGATACTGCATATTCCAGATGGTAAGAACTTGCTGTGTGTCTTGTGTATGTCAGGGCCAGTCCCCTCACTGTGGCAGCAGTGCAACTTTAATCTACAATAGGGCTCATCTGCTGAAAGAAAAGCCTTTGCTAGTTCATCATGATTTCTTCATGATGTTAGTGTCAAGCAGGTTACAAGGTATAAGTCAATGTCACAAGAGGAAATGTGGCTAAAATCTTCCTAAAGCCTTTGATATTTAATGCCCAAGAGCATGAAGTTCCACCTTTAAGATCACCACAGGGTTTAAGAGACAAGGTCTCCCTATGTTATCTGGGCTGCCTTTGAACTCTTGGGCTCAAGCAATCTTCTTGCCTCCACCTCCAGACTACAGTCCTATGCCAACAAGCCCAGCGACCATTACTTTTTTTTTTCTTGTCCTTAGAATTAAACCCCGCCACATGTACTATAAGCACTCTATCCCTATTATATCCCTAGTCTTTTTTTTTTTTTTTTTTTAATTTGATAGTGAGAACAGGGTCTCCCTGATTTGCCCAGGATGACCTCAAACCTGCCTCAGCCTCCTGACTAGTTGGGATTACAGGTTTGAGTCACCACACCTGGCTCAAATATCCTTTTTTGTTCAATGTTGTGCATTCTCATTTTCTGACTTGCCTTTAAAAACTGTCAGTAAGCAGAAGTGACATTTAATCTACTTGGTACATCTTATGTGTTGATTATAATGATAATGTTTAGTCTCAGGTGGACCAGATCAAAAAAAGTAAATCTCTGAAGCAAGACGACTTTWAAAAATGTATATGGGGCTCGGGCTGGGGCTCAGCAGTAGCACACTTGCCTGGCACGTGTGAGGCACTGGGTTTGATTCTCAGCACCACCTTTAAAATAAATAAAGGTCTATCGACAACTAAAAAACTATTTTTTAAAAAAATGTATATTGGGGACCAAGTAAATCTGAGTGACTCAGGAGGCTGAGACAGAAGATTGCAAGTTCAAGGCCAGCCTTTTCTGAGCCCCTTTCTCAAAATTTTAAAAGTAAATAAAAAGGACTGGGGGATATAACTCAGTGGTAAAGCTTCYCTGAGTTCGATCCCTAGTACTAAGAGGGAGAGAGATAGATATGGACAGTCTAAGGAATGTTGTTCTGTGGTAGAGCACTTGCCTGGCATACTGAAACCATGGTTCCATTCTTAGTGCTGAAAAAAAAAATAGGGATATAGATTAGATAGAGATGGAAAATTGAAGTCATTTCCCATAACTTAAGATGTATAGAGTATTTTGAGTTGATGATAGTCAGTTCCTGCCTAGTTTTATTTTGTCCCCTTTTTAGCTCATCTTTGGGTGAAAAATTGTCGGGATCTTCTGCAGTCTACCTACAATAAACAGCGCTTTGATCAACCTTTAGAGGCTTCAACCTGGCTGAAGAATTTCAAAACTGCAAACGAACGCTTCCTGAGCCAGGTAACTAGACTTGGGCAAGTTTTCTTTTTTTTTAGTTGCTCAGAACATTACAATGATCTTGACATATCATACATTTGATTCAAATGGGGTATGTAATCTTATTTTTCCACGTGTACAGTTTGCAGGATCACATTGGTTATACAGCCACGTTTATACATAGGGCCATACTAGTGTCTATTGTATTCTACTGCCCTTCCTATACCCCCCTCCCCTCCCATCACCTCTTTCTACCCAACCTATTGTGACACACTTCTCTCTCTTTTTTTTCTTCCCCCTCACACCATCTTATATGTAATTTTGCAAAACAATGAGGGTCTCCTACCAGCTAGATGGTCTTTATATAGATTATCTTCTTTGTGTACTGAAAACATGGTAGACTATGAAGAATTGATAATTTGATTTGTAATAGATATACTATTATTTATTTCATTTATTTTTCTCACAGTGGGCTCACAATTTGAAATTTATTTATCCAGGGGAAATAAAGACACAACAGTAAACTGTTCTCATATAGTGGAGAGCAGAATAAAATCCAAATTGATTCACTGACTTTTCCAAGATATAGCCTCACATTCTTCATAAGCACACTTCCACTTACATAATTTTCTTCAGATAAGATACTTTGGGGAGCCAGACATGGTGGTGCACGCCTGTAAGCCCAGCGGCTTGGGTGGCTGAGACTGGAGAATCGCTGATGCAAAGCCACCCTCGGCAGTAACAAGGCACTAAGCAACTCAGTGGGACCCTGTCTCTAAATATAATACAAAATAGGGCTCAGTGGCTGAGTGTCTGAATTCAATCCCCAGTACCCCAAAGGGAAAAAAAAAGATACTTTGGGGAGCCCAGACAGAGGCACATACTTAGAATCCCATTAACTTAGAAGGCTGAGACAGGAGGATCACAAGTTCAAGGCCAGATTTAGCAACTTAGTGAGACTCTGTCTCAGCATAAAAAGATCTAGGGATGTAGTTCAGTGGCTAAAGTACCCTTGAGTTCAGTCCTTATTGTCGTGGGGGCAGGGCGGGGAGATGTATAGACAAAATTGTTCTTCATTCCAGTTTATTGGATATGATCTCTAGCTTATAGCTCTTTAACTCGGAGTACAAAGACTCACCKAGGCTGAGCATAGTGGCACACACCTATAATGCCAATAATTTGGGGGTCTGAGGCAGGAAGATCAAAGGCCAGTTTGGGTAACATAGCAAGACCTTGTCTCAGAATTTTTAAAAAGGGCTTGGGAATTGTAGAGAACTTGCCCAGCATGTGTGATGCCCTGGATTCAGTCTTCAACACCACAAAAGAAAAAGTTGGGCATGATGGTCCACTCTTGTAGCTCCAGCATTCAGGAAGCTAAGGCAGAAGGGACATTTGATCCCATGTGTTTGAGACCAATCTGGGCTACATAGGGAGACCCTGTCTCAAAAAAAAAAAAAAAAAAAGCAGATGCTAAGGCCTTAAAGTTAAGTTGTGGACTTTTTTTAGTCAGAATCAATCCATTCTCCCTCCCTCCGTCCCTCCCTTCCTTCTTTCATTTTCCAAAGCTCCAGGCAGAAATGGTTTGGAAAATATTCCCTTATGTGATGGAGTCTTTTACAGGAACTGAGAAATAGATTAAAACTCATTTCTGTTAACCTTAGCCTCCCATCTTCTAGACCSAGGATGGGTTCGACCTTAGGCAAAACAATCTTTTGTTGTTGTTGTTTTTACTTTGCTTCTTTTTAGATAAAAGTTCAAGAGAAATATGTCTGGAATAAGAGAGAAATCACTGAGAAAGGCAGTCCTCTGGGAGAAGTGATTGAACAGGTATAAAAACATTAGCTGTGGATCATGTCATAACCAAAGAAGGCCTCCCATGGCACTCTAAGCCTCTGTCTTCCTGTAGGGTCTGACCCGTGTGAGAAACGCCACAGACGCAGTTGGGATCGTGATGAAGGAGCTAAAGATGCAAAGTTCTTTGGGAATGTTTCGTCTCCTGGTGGCAGTGGATGGAATCAATGCCCTTTGGGGAAGGACCACATTAAAAAGAGAAGATAAAACCCCAGTGAGAAGACTTGATCCTGGTTTCTCTGATTTCTGGCTGCATCATGTACAGAGGCTGTGGCTTAGCCGTGTAGACTTAGACAATGTATTTACTTGCTGTGAGGGTTTGAATTAAGATACAGAGAGGAAATAACTCAGAAGGAGAAGGGGACACGAAAGGTACCACCATGCATTGAAAACAGGGAGAGTTCTCTTTTTTTGTTGTTTTCCCTTGCTACCAGGGATTGAACTCKGGAGGATCCTACCACTGAGCCACATCCCCAATCATTGGGATTACAGGCATGCGCCACTGAGTAGCCTTTCTTTTTCTTTTCTTTTCTTTTGTTTGCAGGACTGGAGCTTCATCCTCAGCCAGCCCTTTTTATTTTGAGACTGGGTATCACTAAGTGGGTGAGGATCTCACTAAATTGCAAGTGTGACGTTAAACTTGTGATCCTCCTGCCTCAGCTTCCCAAATTGTTGGTATTATAGGCATGCACCACTGCACCCAGTTCTTTGTTAATTTTTTCTTTCTGTTAGCTTTTTAAAGAAAAGCTGTGGTTCTAAGTGGAAAAGATTAGAAACATCATGGGTGTAGTGCTGAAGTTGTTTTTCTCTCTTGGTAAATATTTTTAATCTCCAGAAGCATAGCAAATCTTGGGCCAGAAACTAACATAGCTTGTCCCAAAGGGATATGTTCAGGTRCCTTGACTGCATAATAATAATTGAGAATTTTTTTTATTATTATTATCAATTCAGTTGTTTCAAGAGAACTTCTAGGAAAAAAGTAATTATCTATTTCTCTTTGCCAACATGCAGATTGCTCCAGACGAACTAGCACTTATTCACAACCTGAGGAAAATKATGAAAAATGACTGGGTATGTGCATAKGAACGATTTGCACATTGCAGAAAGAATTGGGTTTTCATTTTAAACATATTTTACTACTTCATAACCAATAATACCTTCAGGTCACTAATTTTATGGCCAGAATGTTCTTTTACTTTATGTAATTCCTACAACTGTACCAAGTTAGGAGTTAGGTCTGTATTAAAATCTGTTCATTTGGGGCTGGGGTTGTGGCTCAGTGGTAGAGTRCTYGCCTAGCATATGCGAGGCCCTGGGTTCAATCCTCAGCACCACATAAAAATAAACAAAATAAAGGTATTATGTCCAACTACAACTAAAAAAAAAAAAAATTTTTAAATAAAGATATTGGGGCCTGGGGATGTGGCTCAAGCGGTAGCGCGCTCGCCTGGCATGCGCGCGGCCCAGGTTGGATCCTCAGCACCACATACCAACAAAGATGTGTCTGCCGAAAACTAAAAAATAAATATTAAAATTCTCTCTCACTCTCTCATTCTTTCTTTAAAAAAAAAAAGATATTGTATTCACCTAAAACTAAAAGAAAATTTGATATTTTTGTAGCTATAAATGGATACAATACCTTTATTTTATTTATTTATATTTATATGGTGCTGAGGATCGAACCCAGGGCCTCACACGTGCTAGGCAAGTGCTCTACCGCTGAGCTACAACTCCGGCCCCAATCATTACTAAACTSGTGCATGATTTTTTTAAAAAAGCTTCACATAATGGTCACAACTTTTTTCCCCCCCMMMAAAAAAAAAAAAATAGCATAAAATCTGCAACGATTATACAGTGAAACACAGTATTTAAATATTGGCCTATTTTTATTTGCAATTCTACTTTTATGTTTTCTTTGACTTTTTCTTATTCTTCTTTATTTCAGCACGGAGGTGCCATTGTGTTGACTTTAAGCCAGACTGGATCTCTCTTTAAGCCCCAGAAAGCATACCTGCCGCATGAGTTGCTGGGAAAGGTTAAGTTATAGAAGAATTCAATGCCTCTTAGATGGTCATTCTGAGTAGAGAGAGAGCTCTTTTTAAGTCTACTTATTTTGACATTATTTCAGAAAATCATATTCTTCTACCCCAATATCTCTTTCTTAAAAAACAAAGATAGAATTCTAATACATAACCATAGCATTCTTATCCAGTCAGGAAACTGATATAAACCTTTGATCTAATCTGTAAGTCTTACTCAGAGTTTGCCAGTTAATCCTATATCCCATTAAAGAAAAAGAAGATCCTGGATGATGTTCACTTGTCATGTCTGTTTGGTCTCCTTTAATCTATGGTGGTTCCTCAGCCTTGTATCTTTTATAATCTTAAGATTTCTATTTTTCAAAAGTACATGCCAGGGCCSGGGGCTGTAGCTCAGTGGCAGAGTACTTGCCTAGCAGGTGTGAGGCACTGGGTTCAATCCTTAATACCACATAAAAATAAATAAAATGAAGGCATGCGTCCATCTACAACTACAAAAAAACAAAAACAAAGTACATCACTACTTTCTTTGTAGGTTATTTTATGAGCTTGTCTGATGTTTCCTCACAAGTAGAAGTGATAATAGAAGTAAAAATGTGCCAGGCACATGCTTGTAATCCCAGCATCTCAGGAGGCTGAGGCAGGAGGATTGTGAGTTCAAAGCCAGCCTCAACAACTTAGGGTCTTGCTGACCCTATCTCTAAATAAAATGTAAAAAAAAAAAAGGCTGGGGATGTGACTCAGTGGTTAAGTACGCCTGGGTTTAATTTCCATACCAAAAAAAAAGTAGTAGTAGTAAAAATGTGTCTTCTCTGTGCAGCTTATCAAAAGGAACATGAAGGGGCTGGGGTTGTGGCTCAGTGGGTAGAGTATTTGCCTCTGATTCATGAGGCACTGGGTTCGATCCTCAACACCACATAAAAATATGTAAATAAAATAAAGATATTGTGTCCATCTACAACTAAAATATATATATATATATATATATAAAAGGAGCATGAAATCTGTTTATCCCATTACTGATAATGTTAATTTTGAACACCTACTTTATATGATATTCATCTGGCTTCTCCTCGGTTATTATTCTCCCTTTAGAATTAATAAGTATCTTGAGGAAATATACTTTCAGGCTAGATAAATTTCCTATTACTTCCACTTACTCATCCATTAGATTAGTGATTCTTTGCTAGATGTTATTATGGTAATAGCCAAGTGGAGATTTCTCTAAACCTATTATTTCTTCTAAATATATCACTTGGCTTTCTATTAGAAATTTTCTGTTCCCCTTATATATTTATTTGTTACAGTGTAGATTTGTAAATTCATTTTTAATAGATTCTGAGCCTTTACCATCATTCTTATTTACATGCTCAAATTATTCCAGTGTTACCATGGATGCTTCCTTTAGGCTAGTTGCTATGACCCATCATTTCTTTTAGCACTTCTTTATTTCCTGGCACAAGAATGTTTCCAGATTCCCTTGTACTTCCCATGCCCTCTTCCTAGAATTAGTCATTTCTAGCCTTGGTTTGTTTCAGAAAATGGTTTTTAGAAACCAAGACCTTAGAGCTACCGGGGTATCATTTCTTCTAGCCCTTCTCAGCAAAGCTAGTAACAAGGCGTGTACTGTGTTTACATGTAGTGTGTGTACTGCTTCTCTAGTGAACTATAAATCCATACTGATACTTGCCAGTTCCATGCTAGAATAGCATTCATTGTTCCCTTCCCCTTTTCCATATTTGTCTCATCTATAAGAAATCTCTTCTCATTAGCCACAACTTATTTACTTATTAACTTAATGCTAAAATGTGGTTAAAAAGTTTCAGATTTGTGGGCTGGAGTTGAAGCTTAGTGGTAGAGCACTTGCCTTACATGTATGAGGCACTGGGTTCAATCCTCAGCACAACATAAAAAAAATAAATAAACAAAATAAAGTAATTGTATCCATCTACACAATATTTTGTATATACAAAAAGTTTCATATTTGCTCACCCTCAACTCATATAGAAGCTGCAAACTAGAGTTCAATATTTTCAAGTTTTCATCTTGAGTCAAAAGATGTGTAGTCAGATATTCTTTTCAGAAGTTACTTGGCTTGGGCTGGGGCTGTAGCTCAGTAGTAGAGCACTTGCCTTGAACATGTGAAGCACTGGGTTTGATCCTCAGCAACACATAAAAATAAATAAAGATTGTGTCCTCCTACAATTAAAAAAAAAAAAAAGACGTTACTTGGTCTAGTTCCCCTCCCCTTCTCCTATGTTAAATTCAGAATATAATTTGATTGATCCACTATTTCTAATTATGTTCCACTTAGGGTCTTTTTTCCCACTTGTTAATTTTAATTTCCTTTTTTCCCATCCAAAATATTTTTATGAGTTCATTATAGTTATACATAATGATGGGATTGGTTGTTACATATTCATATACAATATAACAATATTTTGGCCTAACTTGATTCCAGAAGTCAGAGCTCTCAAAAATACACTTTACTCAGACAAGCGGTGTCCCCCATATTTTTGCAGATCTGTAGAAAGTGGGGTAGCCAGAGAAAGAGGAGTAAAGAAGAATAGAAGAAAATAAAAACGCTGCCCTCAAAGTGCTTAAGTAGAATTTCTCTTTTTCCTGATAGGTCACTTAACTAATATTGTACCCTTTCTCTTTTCCAGGAAGGATTTGATGCCCTGGATCCCTTTCTTCCCATTTTGGTTTCCAGTTATAACCCAAAGGAATTTGAAAGTTGTATTCAGTATTATTTAGAGAATAATTGGCTACAACATGAAAAAGGTCAGTTGTTTAATTTTCTCCTATCAGAGCTTGGTGTTCATAGTAGAATCCCACTCATTCAGAGCCTCACCCTCTTGTTCCATCAGCAGTGAGAAGAAAGGTGTTGGTGGGTAGCTAAGTTGGGGTATTTTCTTTTTCGGGGGAAGAGTCCTAGGGATTGAACTCAGGGTTTACTTGACCACTGAGCTACATCACAAGCCCTATTTTGTGTTTTATTTAGAGACAGGGTCTCACTGAGTAGCTTAGCGCCTCGCTTTTGGTGAGGCTGGCTTTGAACTCGCAATCCTCCTGTCTCAGCCTCCCAAGCTGCTGGGATTATAGGTGTGCACCACTACACAGCCTAAGTTTTTTTGTTTTGTTGTGCTTTTTGTGATGCTGAGGATTGAACCCAAGGCCTTGTGCATGCAAGGCAAGCACTCTACCAACTGTGCTATACCCCAGCCTCAGCCTAAGTTTATAATTTACAAAGGAAATTATATCCCTCCCCAAATTCTCATCTGGTCCAAAATAAAATGTTAATGCAAAAAGCTGGAGGCAAAGCTGCCAGGCACGGGGGTTGCTCGCCTATAATCCCAGCTGCTCAGGAAGTTGAGGCAGGAGGATCATGAGTTCAAAGCCAGACTCAGCAACTTAGTAAAGCCTTAAGCAACTCAGCAAGACCCTGTCTCTAAATAAAATATATTTCTAAAAGGGCTGGGATGTGGCCCAGTTGTTAGTGCCCCTGGGTTCAATGCGCAGTACCCAAAAAAAAAAAAAAAAAAATGGAGGCAAAACCCCATCCAGCCAGGGCTGGGGATGTGGCTCAAGCGGTAGCGCGCTCGGCTGGCATGCCTGGGGCCGGGTTCGATCCTCAGCACCACATACAAACAAAGATGTTGTGTCTGCCGAAAACTAAAAAATAAATATTAAAAAAAAATTCTCTCTCTTTTTCTCATAAAAAAAAAAACCATCCAGCCACTGGGCGTTTTCCAGGTGTTTGGATTATGCCATACTCTCATTATTGGTTTATTCATTCAACAAATTTCAGTTGAGAAATTCATGTGCTGTGACAGTCCCACAATAATTCACCTTGTGTAAGAGGCTACCCCAACACCAAAGCAAATCTTTGCCATAGCGATCTATTATATGTAAAGAAATTGTTGCCTCTTAATACCAAATGTTTTCTTTTGTTTGTTGTTATGTTGTTGTTGTTGTTGTTGTTTTTACTCAATATATTTTATTTTTCTGTGGCGCTGAGGATCRACCCCAACGCCTCACACATGCTAGGTGAGCGCTCTACCACTGAGCCACAACCCCCAGCCCTCTTACTACCAGATTTGATGCCCTTTGACTGGAAGCATTTTAGGTATTCATTTAGGTTTGCCTCACCTCTGGATATTCCAGGGTATATAAAGGAAAAATAAAGGGTTTTTCTATTGCTAGATAATAAAGAGTTAGGATATTGGAGAGGAAAGAATAAAAGTAGCTGCAGCATTGTAGGTGGGAAGCATAGAGACGTGTGATCTGGGAAGGAATATGTCTGAACATAATCTAGATAAGGTAGGCTCTGACCACTGGAGTTTTCTGGAGGGATACAGAACAGCAGGAGGAATTTTTGACTTCACTGTKTTTGACTCTATTTTAGCTCCTACAGAAGAAGGGAAGAAGGAGCTGCTATTTCTAAGTAATGCCAACCCTGGGCAGCTGGAACGTCTCTGTGCCTACCTGTGAGCCATGGTCATTATGTGGATGGAAGACAATGGACATTTCCTTAATGCTGCACCCAGTCCCGGAGAA